TGGGATTGGCAAAACCATAGTAGTAGAATCTCTACCTTAAGAACCCAAAACCCACTTTTTTGTAGGTTCTTATTACAAACCCTAATATGGGATTTAAAGGGACCCTACAAAAAAGTAGGTCTTGGGTTCTTGAGGTAGGCACCCCGAACACCACAGCACCACAGCGGCCGGCCCTGCCCTTAAGGGTGCAGGGTCTGCTTACCTGCCTCCTGGCGAAGGTACAGACTGGAACGGTGGGTCCCAAGTTCAGAGCTTCACTAAGATTTCGCGATCTCAGGGTTGTGGCTGCAATTTGGGGTAGGATTTGGGTCGTGGAGACTGGGAGTTGAGTTTCTTTTTCGGGAGGGGGTAGGTTTGCAGCAGACAGTTGCGAAGAGCCGCCAGTGGGGAGGATCATGAACTCCTGGCAAGCTAGCCGATTTCCAGCATGACTGCCGCCGTTGATCACGTTGAAGGAGGGTACCTTGTCGACCAGAGGCAATGCTTAACGATTGTGATACAATTCCTTCGTGCCCATAAACCCTGATGTCCATCATCTACGTATAAGTATAGTGGAGTCTTCGTTTCTCGAGCAGAACTGGGTTGATGGGCCCCAAAAGGTTCGGATTTGATTAGGATCTTGAATCGGGCTCCGGCCGGCTAGGAAAGGGATGCATGGGGTGCTTTAGGGTTTAGGGTTGAGGGGAGGAAGGTGCTCTTGCTGATAAAGCGTTTGTGCAGGCGTCTGAAGCTGTTTTCAGCGGGACCTCGATGAATGAAAAGGGGTTGAGGTAAAAACAAGGTGCTAAGCGACTGCATCTGCGAGGGGTCTTAACAGCAATTAGCGTGGGTTTTTTCAACTATTTTCAAGCACAATGAGTTGTATTAATTAGGGAACCCTGAGCAATAGTATTTACACACATTTGGAGGTTTTGTGGCTTCTACAAGGCTTTGGAGGCTTTGCCACCTCCACAGTGGATTGCGGTCTACAGGGTCTGACCCCTTGGACCTCAGCGCGGAGGTTTGCCCACAGGTCTGGGCGTCTCGATGTGAAACTAAAGCAAAGGTGTAGCGAAAAGGAACACCATTTCTGTGCTATCCTGTAACATACGCACTGTAATGCTAAAAAGCTATAATGCTTACGAGCCCCAAACCAACCTCCGTTCTGAACCCTATTGTGATGAAGCGTGTAGATTCAGATCACAAGCTTTAAAGCCCCTTTTGACGAAGTCCTGATAAGGCACTCGGAGACCCTCTGCGACGATTCGACGATTTCCGAGGTCCGGGATTCTCAGCTGTTCGGGCTCTACGTGACCGGCGAGGTCACAGGAAAGGCTACCAATGCACGTTACGCCCAAGCAGCACGCGGAGCTGAAGCGCACTGTCTGAAGTTACATGGCTATGGACCCGTTTGAACTCTTTACGAATAGGCAGTTCAAGATGAAGGACTCCCAGGCTGCCGCCAAACCCCCGACAACCCCTGTGCAACAACTGCCAGAGCCGGAGCGCAGGCATCACAAAGCGATCTGTCGGCTTCCCTGCCAGCATCGCGATGTACCTTGTGGGCTTCAGGTCTGCGCGTTAGGACTTCACGGTCACCGGTCCAAGTGGAGTCTAGTCACTAGTGCATGGGCTGTGCTTAGAATCATGCTCTCTGGGAAAAGTCGGAGGTTTTTCTGGAAGGGCCAGCCAGGGACATTGGGGGAGGATCCCCAAATGACAGCCGGTAGCACGTGTAGACATTTCTGAGCAGAGGATATTGGATTGATTCGGCTTCTAAAGGTACGAGGCTTCTTGTCATGCTTAGTTTCAGAGACTGTTGGGAAAGAGGCCGCAGTGAGGAGTACCGAGCAGTAGCACCCAAGAGGAGTTGAGGAGGCAATGATCATTGCATGTTGGTCGCGATCCTTTTAGGACGCGTGATTAAGAGGTCGTGGATCTTGCGGGAGACTTAATTACAACTCAGCACAGAGAGAGAGAGAGAGAGAGCTATCTGGGCCCCTGGCTGATAAAGAGGCACCTGCATCGCTGCAGCACCAGCCCGGCATATGGCCATGGAAACCTGGTTGAATCAGTCCAGATATTGGGGCATGGAGGTTAGGCTGGATTTGTGGGTTAAGGTGTGCGTGGCAACAAACCGCTGCCGTGAACATAGATACGGCTCTGAAACTTACACAATAGTCAATAATCGCAAGACCGTCCTGCATCACAAGAGTTAATGGGACAAAGACAAACATTCAGCCAGTGTTTCATAGCAAGGATTGACAACAAAACCCGAACATGGCAGCAGGGGAAATCAGGCGAAAGTGCTTGGGATGAACACGGACGGTTTGGACGTCATTCATCCCGCACGCGCGCAATCTTGCACTGCGGAAGCCGTCTTACCAGGCTAACCCAAGTACAGAAGCAGCCATTCTCCTCTCCACCAGAAGCAGCCAAAGCGCAAACCACAAACCCCTACACAGCCGTGTCTTCATCCCTACATCGCTAGACCGACGAATCACCACTGCAAGCTCGAGACGTAAGCCCGGCCCTGACCCTAAATTTCTAAGTCGCGAAAACTCCAAAAACATTGGGGCCAGGCAATTTGTCTTCGGTTTTAAGATCAAATGCAGCATAAGAGCATGAAGGACTGTACTTCAGGGACTAATGTGGATATTCCGAACGAATCTGATTCTTATGTAAGGCCCACTAGAACCCTGATCGTAATCCTTCTTGATAGAAACCCTTTCAAGGAACCCTATAATCCCTATAAAGGATCCAAAAACTGAACCCCTGAACCCTAAACCAAAAACTGAACCCCTAAAGCCTAAACCCTAAACCAACAACTGAAGCCCTAAAGCCCAAGGCATGGAACGGCCAAGATGGCGTTGGCGCCCAGCTTCGACTTGGACCTGCGATGGGCAAAGTCGACTCGGTCCGGCAGTAGCTCAGGTAGCCCAGACTATGGGCAGCTTGGCATGGTATGTATAAATAAATAAATAAGAAAAAATATATATATATATATATATATGCATGCATGTAGAGCAATCTAGGGAGATAGAGAAAGAGAGGGAGAGGGAGAGAGAGAGGAAGAGAGGGAGAGAGGGAGCTTTCCAAATGCGGATAGCGAGTTAAGCCCTGAAAACCTACCAAGTGGTGCAAATGCCAAGGCCCAAGCCAACCCCACTCGTTCTTGGAGCCATCCAGCTGCTCGACCATCAGTTTGTCCAGAGTGGCCTGGTAAGCTTATGGCTGTGGTCGCCAGAACCCAAGCCCCAAATCCCGAAAACCTTGCAAACGAGCCATGTCAGCTCGAACCCACGAAAGCCTCAGTAGATCCCCCTTTCTGGAGCCCTTGTTCCAGGTCTAAGAGGAGCGATGAGGGTCCTTCGTACGCGGAAGGCCCTGATATTTCTGAGGCATCGCCCAGAGGTCCTTTGCATTGCGGATAGTGCTATTTATAGGGTGTAGGTGTTCTCATGTTGGGGATCCTGCCTGTACTATTTAATTTAGGGTGCAAGCTCCCCACTTCCCGAGGCCTGCTCCGTGACCTTCATGCCTATCAGCTTCGGAGCAATGATGTCATTGATGTTCGCCACGGCTTTAAGGACACCTGGGAGTGTCTCCACAGCTCCCAGACCCTCAGCCTGTTATCGCAAGACTCATCTCGTGAGTCGCACGTGCCTCGGGCACCTGAAGTCGTTGTGGGGGGCTGGTTTCAAGTTTGGACCAGAAGTAAATTTACGACCAGAAATACATGTAATCTTCAATTCGACAAACTATAGGCCCGGACCATAAATCCCAGGGCTTCAACCCTCAACCGGAGCCCCAGAGCGTGCCCTGGGGCCTTTATCGAAACAGAAATACCCTTTATAGGAGCTTTTATGTATAGACTCTTCTTTAAAGGGGATCCTTAGCGAAGCCCTGTAAAGGAACCCGAAAGGCACAGCCAATACAAGCACCCTTTTTTGGGGAGCTTTATATAGAACTCTGCTTAAAAAAGGGAACCCCAAGAGAAAGCCTGCTAAGGAAGCCTAAAGCCCTATAGTAGCCGAGCGGAGCCCCCAAACTAATATAGTACCCTGTAAGGAACCCTGAAGTGCATACAGCTTCCGTAAAGAAACCCTAAACTCCATAGTAGCCTGGTCCCTTTTAGGGGTTCCTTTAAGGGGTCCCTT